GGGTACAGCAGGGCCAAAGTGCAGAGGTGGGAACATCACTGCTCTGGTGAATAGAAGGAAACTGGATACTCAGGAGGATTTTCTAGGGGCAGAGAGAGAATGGCGGGAAGGACGTAGGGCATATTTGAGGCCTCAGTCTGGGAGAAGGCTGGGTGAGTGAGGCTAGGGGCTGCCCAGGGCCAACAGGTCCAGAAGCCCCGGTAACATAGTGGGTGAACAGCTCTGGCTTGGGGCTCAGACCGGGACCTGATCCTGACTTCTTCAAGTATTAGGTTTGTGACCTTGTGTAAGAGTTTTAATTTCTTCTAGTCTCAGCTGACTTATCTGCAAAATAGGGATAATAGGCCTTACCTCTGCCCCCCCCCCACACACACATACACACACACACACACACACACACATCTGTTGTGAAGATTAAATGAAAATATTTAGAACAGTCCCTGACACATGGAAAATGCTCAGTCAGTGGTAGTTGGTCTCACTATCTCTGTTGATCGGGGAGAGGGGATGGTAGAGCAGGGTGACCTGGCTTCCTGGGTAGTCAACGCCGTACTCCTTCCTCACTTCAAAGATCAACACACTCCTAGGAGGAGGAAACTAATATATTTTCATGCCCAAGGACCTGTCATTGTTCTTAACTAGTGATATCTTCCAGCAGCAGCCCAGCCAATGGCGGGGGAAGTGGAGAGGATCTGGACCCCTGCCCTTGGGCAATGAACTGTGAGTAAGGGCAAGGCCCACCCCCATTCATCGTCCCATATAAGTCTCTGCTCCAAGTCCACCTGAGGGTGCTGGGTAGTGGGGAGGACACACGGCAGATGCCAACCGCCCCTTACAGGGCAGCAGAGCTGGTGATGGACACAAGGGGTGGGAGGTCTGAGGGGCCAGGGCTGGGGCAGGTTTAATCGGGTCTTGCCATACTTCATGTGATCTCTCTGAGGGGAATAAAGGCAAATAGGGACAATGCCTGGATTGGGGGCAGTGATAAGGAGGAGGTGTTTCTCAGATTCAGGAGTTTTGGGAGGAAGCAGGAGGTGGGAAAGAGGGAATCGGAAGGAGTGGTATGGTCTTCAGAAGAGAGCACTGGACAGAGAGTCACAAGTCCTTGGTTTAAATCTCAGCTCTGTCTGTTAATGCATGACTAATGGGACATACTTTATCTTTGGAGGCCTCAGTTTCCTCATCTGTAAAATGGGTATATCGTGCTTCTCAAAGGGTTACCGCACAGATCCAACGAGATAAAGTAAGTGGAAACTCTCAAGAACTATCAAGCACTGTACCAGTAGGCTGTGTTAGAAGGAGGAACAGCAGAAGGAGACGGATGGAAATAGGGTGGGAGCTCTCTAAGGCGGTGGGCTTTCCAACATCCTGGGAAGGCACTCCTTCCATAAAGACTGGCTGCTAACTGGAAAAATTCCTCCTACCGTTTTATTTCTCAGTGTGAATAAGAGCACTGGGTTCCTTGCTTTTTCAGGAATCGTTTTGGCTGAGGGGAAGAAAGAAAGAGACCTCTGGCCTCTCTGGGCCACTGAGGTGGGAGAAATGGGGAAGGGCCTCCCAGAAGGAGCAAGACAGCTCCAAAGACAAACTTCCAGGTCCTCCCAATCTGGCCCAGGCTTTCAGGTTTCCCAGCATCTCCTCCTAGGACCCCTAGCCTCCTTCCTCTCTGCCACCTCCCAGAGCCCAAACCAGGCCTTCCATTACTGCTAGGCCCTGTGCCGGGGGTGGGGGGTGGGAGGAGGCTCCTGTCTCTGACCCACTGCTTTTTCTTAAGGGCTTTAAATATCTGAACACAAGGGCTGCACACACATTCTCACATGGAGAAGAACCCTCACACAGACACATTGTCACACACATGATCACACATGCCCTCAAGCACATTCTGAGATGCTGAGACACTGACCAACAGAGTCTCTCACACACAGACA